TAGTGAACAACAACCCACTCAACTATTCATCAAAGCATGTAATTCATAGTTACCAGATCATAACATTTCAAACTAACTTGAAAGCATAAACAAACAAATCTTCTATCAGGCCAAGAAATGCCCAATCAAGTTGTACAAAGTGTACAAATTAAAAAATACAAATAGTATTTATTTGTGTGGCCGAAGTCATTTTTAAAAAACAACAACACTTGTCAGGTGGTATTTAACTCATTTAGGAGACCTGGTTTTGTGCTAACCTGGCCATTGTTCCATCTAGCCTAATACTGTACTGTACTGTACACCAATTGATAGAGACTCTCCAGGGTTGCGGGGGGGATGGGGACCTTGGAACAGATTTAGGAAAGGAACAGTGGGAAAGGAAGTCCCTTTGTGCAGAGAAAATTGTACCTGTACTAATAGGGGGTCAACATTCTACAGCTAGATGTGATTTTTTTGGGATGATTGCATGCATAACCTTAAGGTTGTCATATTTCAAAAAGTGAAAATCTGGATACAAAAGCTATTTATTGCCATATGTCCAGATTTTCCAGGCTGTTTGGACGATTTCCACCCAGACACTGATTCCGGCTGCAGTTTTCCAGGTATGTCCAGGAAATTCTGGATGTATGGCAACCCTATATAACCTTGTATTCTGCAGTATTATATTTAGAAAAATAGTTAAACCAAAATCACTTGTGCCTTTTTCTTCTTCTAGTGAGGACATGTAGTGAACCATTCAGACCACCACAATATCAGTCATGAGATCAATTTTTCAGCTTTGAATCCACACCATGTGATGACATGAGCTGGTCTTTGCTTCCAAAACAGGAACCCAGGAACACTGAATCAGACTACTAGCCCATCTAGCACAGTACTGCCTGCACTGAGTAGCAGCAGCTCTCCAGGGTTTCAGACAGAGCCTTTCCCAATCCTATCTGGAGATGCCAAGGGTTGAACCTGCGACCTTCTGCATGTAAATCATCTGCTCTATTGCTGAGCTACAAGCCCTTGCTCAAATGAATGTGATTAGTGCAAAGCTTTAATTCCAAGTCAGATTTGCACTGGAAATCTGCAGAATCTGTAGAAATCAACATTCCCCTGAACACTAAGCTTGTTCAGCCATATTCAAGTGTCTCACTTTCAAAAACCAACTCAGTAAACATGTGTCTGTCCTTTGTTGTATTTCTATGACCCCTTTTTTTATGCAATTCTGGGCAAAAATGCTTTCACCGTATCAACCAATGATGTGTTACTAGCGTTATGGAGACAGGTCAGGATTTCCACAGCAACACCGGCTGGCAAAGAAACCTGATTCAGTTCACATATGGACCTATTTAAGCTTTCATTCCTTTAAAATATAATGTGTCTAGTATTTAAATAAAGTTTATAGAACTTGACTTGGGAGTGGAAAGTGGGTGGGAAGGAGGCAAAGTGGGAAATATGCCGGAGGCTGGTCCGTCAGGATTTCATCTTATAATCGGTTCATTTGGAAACACCTGGTAAATGAGGCAATCAAATTTGGCCTCAAAGCAACCCCCACCAAAAAAGCAAGCAGTAAGAATAATAAAATCCAGTCAGCAGAGTCAACAAAAAGAAAAAAAAACAACAGCCCTGGGGCATTTATGATCATGACAATTATATTTAAATTTTATACCTTGCCCTGGCTTAGAGGAGTTTACAGCTTTGGAAGGAATGCGAAAGCATACTTAAAGTGTGTCTGTGTTGCTCATTATAAAAATACAAGTTAGTATGAAAAATTGTGCATCAGCCCTTCGGATATGATGAAATGGAAAGCTCAACATATACACAAAACACATAAGATAAATATGCTTATGCCTGGTTTATCCTCCAGGGACTTGGTGTCTGTCGCTAAGGGCTACAGAATGTGACAAAGTGTAGCAGGTATTGGGAGCTGGCTTTTATATACAGCAGAGTTGGGGAACCAAAGGCCCAAGAGCCAAAAATGGCCTTCAGAAAACTCCTTAGGCCACACCCCCTTGCTGGCCCCACTTTGCACTGAGGGTTTTAGCCTCTTGCTTGTATGGATGGAGGGTAGAGAAGTATACAAATGAATGTAGAAACCAGCCTACTGCACCTCACTTTCATTGCACTGCCTCTGGTCCTGCTCACCACTGGCAAGTGGCCCCCAGAAAGTTTCATGGAAGAAAATGGAGTCCTTGGACTGGAAGACATTTCCCACCACTCATACATGGGAACACTGGCTGAAGCTGCCCATTTCAGTGCTGGAGAGATGCATATAGACCTTAACCCTCTCCATGCGTTTAAAATGCATTCTGCCCAAAATTGATCCGTATATATGTTTAAAGGCTTGGGGAAGGCTCCCACCTGGCATCACCTGCAGCCTCAGCATGTTGAGATAAGATCTGAAAGGGGGATTTAGTTATCCTCGTGGAGGTTTGATGGCTTTGAATGATATCCAAGGCTCAGAGACAGAGGAGGATCAGCAAGCTGAGTCAAGGGCTGCTTCACCACCAGCTGGAGAACAGAACCAGGTTCCTGATACTGAATCAAAGTGGATGACTATGAATCTTAGGTTCTTGCTTCAGTGGCTATTAGCCATGATGGATGCGTACTACCTTAAATGCCAGACTCAATACCAGCTGCTGGGGTGAATGCTGATGTTCTCATGCCATACTTTCAGGCTTTCCCAGCAGCATATGTTTGGCCACTGGGAAGGCAAGGTGGGTCTTTGGCTTGATCCAGCACAGCTGCTCTTATTTTCTTAACATGTGGCCTAAGCCCTGATCTTCACAGAGCTATCACCGCCCCGCCCCTCAGCTGAGCTCAGTTCATCGAAGAGTCAACCCCCTCCTATTCCACAATGCCAGTCCAACAGTGCATGGGCAGAAGCCATGGGGAAGAGGAGAAATGCTCAGCTTCAAACCAGGCTTTAAGAAGCCACACACCTCAAGCAGGGGTGGTGGTGCCTTGTCAACTTCTATCTTTCTCTGGAGCAAGTTGCACCCATGGAGCTATCCAAGGTGCTAAGACTTTGGCTTCCTTGCTCTTTGGGTTCCCACTGAGGTCAAGAGCTCCAGTTGCACAGGGCTCCTGAATTAATGGAGGAAGGTCTGTGAGTGTGGCCATGAGTTGGGGTCAGGCATTCTCTCAATGGGTGGAGGTTGAAGGGTGGTGCCAGGTGACTGAGCAAGTGCAGTGCTAGATGTGGCCGGTGACCCAGACCTGCTACCCTCTAATTGCACAGAGCCTCTTTATGTGGAATAATGTAAATCTTCCAATGCAAAATGAGATAAGGCAGCCCATTCCCACCACAGTCATGTTGCCTCTCCACCTCCCTTTTGCTGTATGGCACACCCAAAGCACAGCAGTTTACTGCAGGTTCAGGAGAGAGGTGAATTACAGTGATGGGGAAAGACTATGCTGCAAAAGTCATTTCTGCTTTGTCTCCTGAAACACTGGGTGATTTAAAGACATATAAATGCTCCCCAGTTTTTCAGATATGCCCAGTAAGCTTTTCTTACTGAACCATTTTTAAATTTAAAAAAATGCAAGATGCATTTTTTTAAAGTTGATGCTAACACTCCTACTGAAATCAAGGGGAACTTACAGTGCAATCCTATGCCTTAAAAGTCCTTAGCACTGGCTGGATTGTGTCCAAATTGTTGGGAGTGTTAGAATGCATCTCAGCAAGACTTGTGGGTTTGCATGGGAAAGGGTAGAAAAAGAGAGGAACCCCCAAACTTCCTAGACTGTCCTTTAACCTGTGCTGACTTTCCCTGATACTCTCAGGGTTGCTGACCCCACTCCTCCCTTCTTCATCCCCTTACCTTAGAAGAGGGGACATCTTTGTGTGTGTCTCCTGCTGAGGACAAAGATCAAGCATTGCTCTTTGTATCTCCACCCTAGTTAGATAGAACTAGGATCTTTCCTATGAGTGACATCTGCTAATTGCTGCAGATCAAACTGCCACTAAAGGAAGTGACGGGGGATTGGTGTGAAAGCTCACCATCTGAAGTACAATCTCCAGGCTGACAGCTGCTAATCTTAAGTCTCCAGTTCCCTCTCCTTCAAAGGAAACGCAACCCGCAAAGCGAAAGTGACTAGCAGAGCCACTGCCAGTCAATGTAGACAATAACTGAACTAAGTGGATCAATTGTCTGACCCAGCATAAAGCAGAGTCTGGTGATGGGCAAATCTGTCCACTTTGGTTTCTGTCTGTTTCTCTCTTTTTCCCCATCTTAAATTCAATTCTCCACATTTCCACATCAGTTCACTTTTTTTTTTAAGTCCTCATGAAACTTCATCAGCACTTTAGTGCAAATTTCTCCCACAATTGTATGCATTTCCCCCCCACAATATACCCATCTATTCAAAGTAATTCCCCCATATATAACGCATCTTCGTACGCTATCTACATTAATATATTCATTTTCATGCAGACTTTGTTTCAGTATATACATGTACATGTTACGTGACTGGAATATTGTAATATTCAAGAAGTGTGAATTTAAAAGGATGGCTGTGTTTCCTTTTGCACAGAAACCATGGGTTAGGGAGGGGTTTGCCTTTTCTGTGAACGGAATCATTTTTTTTCTCCATTCCTTGATAAGGCCCAGAAGACACGTAGAAAATGGAAGTTGAAACCGGGCTGAAATGTTAGAGTGAAGAGGTTAATAGTGCAATCCTACACAGGTCTCCTCAGATGTAAGCTCCACTGATCCCCCAGGTAACTCTGTACAGGACTGCAACCTTCAAAATGTCTTGTTATCCTATGCTATTTTTTTAAAAAACTGCTCTGAGATTGCTTTTTGTTGAAGCAAATAAATAATAAAACATGCTTAAAAGAGAAAATGGAAGGGCTGGACTGAACTATTGATTGATTGCATTTATATCCCCACCTCCCACCCACCCCAAAAGAGATCAAGGTGACATACATGGTTTTCCCCTCCTCATTTAATTCCCACAACAACAAGGTAGGTTAGGCTGAGAGGCAGTGACTAGCTGCCCAGTGAGCTTCATGGCCAAGCAGGGATTTGAACCCTTGTCTCCCAGGTCCTAGTCCGATACTCTAACCGCTATACCACACTGGCTTTATAGGAACAACTGGGCTAAAACATGAAGATGCTGCTCTGACTTTCTCCACCAAGCAGCAAGAGACACAAGGCAATTCAATATTTTAAAAATTGTCATCCTCCTGCAGTACAAAAGCCAGGGAAAGCCTCTTTTTGCTAACGCCCACCTTACCCCTCCAATTTACTGAAAAAAAATCCTTTAACGGCAAAGAAGAGTAATGTATCGCTGGAAACTGATGGTATCACAGGCGCATTTGCCCACCCCGTTATATTTTAATTCTTAGGCCACCCACTTCCCAAACCATGCTAATATTTCTTGTACATAAATGCCAGTTGGAGAAAACTAGTGGTTTAGGAGGCAAGACTGTTGAGCCCTAGGACAGGGTTCAATGCAGAGATCAGCACACAGAGATACACACGTCTGGCCTGGCAAGGCCTTAAAAACGGAGATGAACACACATTAACTCATTTGAAATTGTTGCCTGCAGAGAAACAACAACAAAAGATTCATGACAGCTTTGGGCCGTTTTATTTTTATTTTTTTATACACCTGCTTCACCTCTTAACACCTGCTTGAAAGACACTGTGTGTGTGTGTGTGTGTGTGTGTGTGTGTGTGTGTGTTTTAACCTAATAAATGATTAGTACAGCTGCTACTGGATTAGCCAGAGGGAATTCCCATTTCAGCTTGGTTGGAAAACAAAGCTGCTGCCCATTCAGCTATGAGAGCTCTACCCTACCTTACATCTTTGGGAGAGCAATGAGTTTGACTGAATTAACAGCAGCCACATCTAAAGAGGGGCTTGAGGAATTTAATCTTTGCACATTCAGATGTGAACTGACTTGATCTACACCTTCCGGACTAATGCACAGATCGGAACATCACTAGCTATTGGCTTTTGCAGTTCTCCAAATGTTGGGACACAGCCCTTGGCTACAGAAACTTATCCAAACATGCTTTAGAATGCATATTCTGAGAGATAACGTGTTTAAAAATATATATTTAAATGCAAATTTTATTGAGGATTAAATAATAAAAAACACCAACATCACTGGTTATTGTGGAAATGGGATGCAATAAACTTAGAAGTTAGCACTTGTGAAGGAGACTGGAAAAAGACTGTTTCATCCAGCCCTAGTTGCATCCACCCAGAAAAAGGCCTTAAAAATAGATTAATTGCTTTTAAAAAATGAAGGATCAGCCAGAAACTATGGCTTTATGCTCCTTTATTATTAGAAGTAGTACTGGCATTATTTAAACTTATTAGTTGCTTGTTTCCTAAAAGGTATCCAATCGATTTACATTTAAAAACATGAACACATTGTATTATACTGAGGAAAGAAAAATGAGTATAAAACATTGCTTTTCATATAACACAAAAAAACAGTCCTTCCTTCACAGGCGCAGGAAGCTTTGGCAGCACTCTAACAATAAAACAGAATCAGCTCAGTCCATCCTAGGCCTGGAGGGAAAGGTAAATCTCTAGCTGGTGCCAAAAAGATTTCAGTGAAGGTCCCAAGCGGACCTTACTGAGGAGAGCATTTCACAGATGAGGAGTCACCACTGAGAAGGCCCTCTTTGTTAATTTTGTGCTATAGCTCTGCATCAGATTGGAGAGGAGTGTTAGCTTACTCCCAATGTGCTAATACCGCCAATTTGCTTGTCCACAGAATTGGCTGCCTTTTGCATCTCTGTGAGAATTCATGCTAGATCACTGACTCATGCAGAAATACAGGGATGGAATGGTCTCCTCTCAGATTGAGTCACTCTTAACATTTAAAATAAAGCTTTTAGACTGTAGGAAGCTGAATACTCCCCCCCCCCATTATGGCAAATATTGCCTGTTAGTAACAGTGGCGGAGGAAGAGGAGTGCAGGGGGAGCGCACGCCCAGCAGCACGATCCCAGTGGGGTGCCATCGTGGCTGCCCCCACCCGCGCTGGGCACCACGCCCCTGCAGGCGGCCGCCACGCCCCCAGGACGCGCACCAGCCATGCCCCACCTGCTCCCTGCCCCCTGGTGCCGGAGCATGAAGCTCCGCCACTGGTTAGCAAAAGCTCACACTTTTTTAATTTTATTGGGGGGGGATATAACTACATTTCCAGCCTCTGAACATGTAAACTGGCCTCTGCATGGGACCAGTTACAACTGAATCAGGCCCATCTCTCTGAATTGCCATTTGTTCAGCATTTCAGCATGGTCCATAATTTGGTAGTTCTGTCCATCAGAAGAACATGATTGACTGATTGGTCTACTCCTATCTAAAATGGAGTCAGGATTAAAATGATGCTTCATTTCTCTTCACTTTCTTTGGTAGTCCAGAAACCTCACTTGAACTGCCACGTGCTTTTGCACAGGATTCAGACTTTGACACTGGTCATCCATTTCTCAGTGTCATTTCATGAAATGTGTAGAACTGGCTTAAAATGCTAAAGAGACTCAACTGTATCCTAGGATTGCTGCAGTGTACTCTACGTGGGACTACCTTTGAAAGTGACTTGGAAACTACAACTAATCCAGAATGCAGCAGCTAGACTGGTGACTGGGAGCAACCACTGGGACCATATAGCACTAAAGGATCCTAAAGGATCTACATTGGCCCCCGGTACATTTCCAAGCACAATTCAAAGCCTCAGCCCTGTAAACCTGAAGGAGCCTGTCCACCTCCATCATCCAGCCCTGACACATAAGTCCAGCTCCGAGGCCCTTCTGGCAGTTCCCTCACTGTGAGAAGTGAAGCTAGAGGGAACCAGGGAGAGGGCCTTCTTGGTAGTGGCACCTGCCCTGTAGAACGCCCTCCCGTTAGATATCAAACAGATAAACAACTACAGTTGTACCTCGGGTTACATACGCTTCAGGTTACATACGCTTCAGGTTACAGACTCCGCTAACCCAGAAATAGTACCTCGGGTTAAGAACTTTGCTTCAGGATGAGAACAGAAATCGTGCTCCAGCGGCACAGTGGCAGCAGGAGGCCCCATTAGCTAAAGTGGTGCTTCAGGTTAAGAACAGTTTCAGGTTAAGAACGGACCTCCGGAACGAATTAAGTACTTAAGCCGAGGTACCACTGTATATGATTTTTAGAAGACATCTGAAAGCAGTCATGTATAGAGAAGTTTTTAATGTATAATGTTTTACTGTGTTTTTATATTTGGTTGGAAGCTGCCCAGTCTGATGGGCAGCAAATAAATTATTATTATTATTATTATTATTATTATTATTATTATTATTATTAAACCGCTTGAATTACAATGGGGAAGAAAGGAAGAAAAACAGACTCTGGCCATAAATTGTACCTTAACGGTCAAATTAGCACCAGATGTATCCAGAATGGTATAAAAGGTTATTCACACTTCTCCCCCTACAGTAATACATTTTAATACATTATCAATTATTAACAACAACAGGAGCAAAAATGTTAAAAACCACCTTGCACAGTATGGCTGGCAGAGTTTTTGGAATGCAAGATGAATCTTTCCGTCTAAGAAGCTGTGCAAGAGAGTTCTATATTGTTGTCTAGATTTACTTAAGCTTCTGTCGGGTTCCCTAAATAACCACCTGCTTACATCTTCACACCTAAGTGCTGTTAAGGGCACCATCACCACTCTTGTGCCCTTAACAGCGTTAAATCTGCAGATGTGAGCAGGTAGTTATGTTATCCTCTATCCTGTGGGAAGCATTGACAGCTAATTTCTGCAGACAGAGCTGCTGTTAAAGGCACAGTTAGGCTGGGTGTTAAGACGCTGCATCCTTGGACAGCTGCCAGGGGCCCAACAAGCTAATCCCACTTCTCTAGGGATGGCTATTCCTGTACTGGAGTTAGCACAAAGTGGTCCCCATCATAGGAACATAGGAAGCTGTTTTATATTGAATCAGACCACTGGGTCCCTCCAGCCCAGCATTGTCTACAGTAACTGGCAGGACTTCAGGCAAAGTTCTCTCCCAGCCCTACCTAGAGATGCTAGGGACTGAACATGGGACCTTGTCCATGAAAAGCAGATGCTCTACCACCAAGCTACAGCTTTGTCCTCATCAAAACAGAGCTTTTATTAATGCAACCACCCTCCAGCTCCTTCTCCTTATTGTGGCCAGTAAATACTTAATCCAGAGAGGGTTTATTGAGGAGTGGTTTTGCCACATCCTCCTTCAAGCAGGAAGGGACGACTCCTTTTCGCAAGGAGGCATTAATTGCCTCTGTGTCCCAGCCAGTTGTCCCTTCCCTGATACTTTTTATCAGCCAAGAAGGGCAGCAGTCCAGAGCGCATGTAATTGCCCTGACTGATCCAAGCACCTTGTCTGCATCCTCAAGCCTTGCCAACTGAAATCCAACATAGCGGGACTACACAGTGTTCTGGACACGCCTTGAGATTCATCTGCTATAACAGCAGAGTCGAGATTCCAGTGGATGCAAGCGCTTTTATCCTCAAAATGTTTTGCAGACAAGCCACAGCAAGCTACCATCGGTTCTGCCACCTGTGCTGCGTTTAACATACAGAAAATATGGCACATACGTTTTAATTATGAAAGTTTCTGTATGCTGCATGGTCTGTTTCAGTTGGCATATTGTTTTGGAAGGTGTGAATTAAGAATTTAATTGCAAACAGAATTTAATGCCTCCCCCCTTTCCTACACTTAGCTGCTCCCTTAAGCTGATCCTCTCTCACATGTGGCTTGAAAACAAGAGGGGAGCGACAGTGCAGTGCAGGCTGTAGTGGACCACAGGAGGAACAGCATTTCCAGGCAAAGGCTTAGCCAGTTCCCCTGCATTGCTTGAGAGTTGGCTGTTCCCAGCTGGATGCTGTTTTACCTCTGTTTTTCATCTCTGATATGTTCTCCAAGGGCTCGTTTGAAGAGAACAATTCAAACCTTGCTATTACAGTTTTGCTTTCAACTATGATTGTCACATTAGGAAGCCAATTCGCAATCCATTTTCTCCAGAGTAGTCCTATCAAAAATCAATGGGGCTGTCCGTTGCGGTCCAAGTACAGTGATGCGACATTAAGTTTACCCACTGTGCTCT